GAGCCGCCCGCCACGCGCGAGCGTCGGGAGCCGCGCGGGCCTGGGCGAGGCGGGGCGGCCGTAGCACCAGCCCCCGTCTCCGCCCCCGCGCCTCCCTGCCGTGCAAAACTCTGGTCGACTTGCTTTCCAATCACACTTAGGTTCTATCATTTTGAAAAGTCCCGACCTCTTCCTGCCTGGCCCCATCCGGAGAACCGACTGAGGCTGTGAGTGTTTGGGGAAGCAGGCCTGCTTGGCGGCCGCAGCCCAGGCGTCCCACCTCCGCGCCGCGGCCCTGGGGCATCGCGGAAATGCGGAGCAGGAGCAATTCCGGGGTCCGCTTGGACGGCTACGCGCGGCTGCTGCAGCAAACCATCCTGTGTTACCAGGTAAGAAGAGACCACCCCGAAGGTACGCCCAAAACGACCCTCTTGCGTCGCTCATTCTCCTCCCCAGGCCTCTGTCCCCTCTCGTGACCTTAGACCTTGAAGTTAAGAGGTTTCCTATTCGAATCCAGTTCTTGCTTGCCAGTGATTACCTCCCCATAACCACCGTGTTCTCTTTACGAGTTAGGGGACCAGATGGCTGCTGTGGCTACTCTTCACAGAATTCTTTACCAGTGTTTAAGATCGAAGATAGAATGAGCTCCTTCGGTGCCCTAGGTACAAAATGAGACTTTTTGCGTTGACTGCCAATTTTGGATGAGAGGAGACGTGCGTAGGCTGGACAGAGCACATTGATTAAGGACGGTGAACTCTGGACTGCGAGGACGGTAGACAGGGGTGAAGAAACTCCTGAGGTTTGCGTACGACAGCACCAGAGTGTGGATCGACAGCTACTGTCCCTCCCATGAGGTACTTTGTTAGAGACCCACCTGGGAGGGCCTTAGGGTCTACTATGGTTCCTGTTTTACAGATAAGAAAACTGCAGGGCTGGCCGGAAAGGTTACCTCATATAGCAGGGGCAGACCCAAAGGCAAGTCTTTTGCTCCCAAGTTCAAGGAACCCTGTGAAGCTGCCTGCTGTGCTTTCTATTACTGGGCTAAAGTTATGTGCAGATCCATAATGTAAGACCACTGAACTATTTTTATTCCTAGTGAAGACAGCAGCTAAATTGCTTGCCTTCAATCAACAGCAACTATTTATAGGCCCTTCAGAGTCAGAGAAGCAAGTGGCATTCAGTGGTTAGAGGCCTGGCCTACAAGTTGGGAGCCATGATCACTCCCAAACCACTGACCATTTTCTCTTCTTAGCTAATTTCTCAGCCTTGATTCCTCATTCAGGAAATATTTATTGTGCATCTGTTGTATGCAAGGCACTCTACAAAGTGCTGGGCTTACAAAGAAAAATAAGTGATTGTAGTGCAGTGACATTTGTGCATAGGGTGTAGGTCCAGAGTCCTTTATCTGAAACCCTTGGGGCTAGATGTGGTTCGCGAGTTAGAAATGTTTGGATTTTATAAAGGTGAAATGCATATGCCATACGAGGGTGCTTCAGAAAGTTCATGAAAAGTTTCGTATGATCTTTTAATTCTGTTTTTCCATGATCTTTTTGAAGTACCCTCGTATATAGGAGAATAATTTCAGCAGAGTCTGCGCAGCACCCCTTAATCAAACACATTATTTTTTCCACATCAGAATATGAATATTCATGCTGAGTGGGATAAGTAAAGACTGAAAAGAGTTTCACGTTAGTTCAGGTCATCTTTTGCCACCAAACAAGCTTACTGCAAACCTACAAAAATATGCTAAATTTTCAGAGCTTATTGGCTTTTGAGATTGCACGTGAAGGATCATGGTCCTTATTTTGAGAGCTTTGAGGAAGGACTCCTAACGTGGTTTGGGGGGGCTGGAGAGAAGTCCTGGAAAAGGTAATGTTCAAGTTTAGAGCTGAAGAAGTAGACGGCAAAGGGAGGTTACTTTGCCTTTCTCCTTGGACTATTTTATATTGAGATCTATGAAGTGTTTTAAAATCCAAGAGGAAAGGTCTTTCACTTCACTACTGTGATGAAAGAGTATAAGGAGAACTGAGGAAACTTGGTTTTGGGGTCAAGCTTGGGTTTGCATCCCCAGCTCTGCCTTGAACAACATATGTAAGCTTTACTCATCCTTTCTGAATCCATGCCCTCACCTGTAAATGTAAAATGGTGATCATAACACTGGCTTCCATTGAGTTATTGTAAAGAAAGAACTAGTGCCTAGTAGGTTGCCTGGCACCTAGTGGGAAATCAGTAAATAGTGGGTGCTCCTGGTGGTGTTATGACTTGGATATTGGCCACACATTAGTACCCAGGCCTAGTGGTCCTTGCATGACCACTCTGGCCCGTGATGCTCCCTTTTCTGAAGGCTCTGATACAGCTGCTAATTGCTTTCTAGTCCTTGAACAACATAATTATGTCTCCCCACTGATGCAATGAGATCCTAAGTACAGAGACCTCATCAGTTCTGCTCCTTTGCATCAAGCAGTGTCTCCGGTGCTTGAAAGGTACCCTTAAATCCTGTTGGTAAAATACTTCCTGCAAGGTCTGAGCCATCCAATGACCCAGCTATTGGTCCAGGCTTGCCTTCCCTCAAGAGCAAAAGAACTGTCTTCTCATTAAAGTAAATCTGCAGGGTTGGACTTTCCTCCCCAACATTTTAATGATTAAAAAAAGTTTTCTGACCCTTTAGTTGTATTTACTTTGGGGGTAGTTGGTGAGAAGCCCTCATGTTTGCCCTCTTTTTTGCTTCCTGACTGCATTGTCAAGCTCTTCTGACTCACCAGAACACTCCAAAATCCCATGAGTCTACAAGTGCAGAGTTGCACACTTTCCTACCTAACCCCACCTTGCACCCAGCCTGCCCCAACAACTAGTCTTCACAGATGTAGAGCCGTAACCCATTTAGGGCCTTGTCATCTTCTCTGAGTGATCTTAGGTAGATCACTCTGTAAAAATGAATGAGCAATTCTATGTTATGTTTATTTCACCACAATAAAAAAAAAATGAATGAGCAAAACCAGTGGTTTCTAAAGTTTATGCTATATCTTCCCTTCTTTTCCTGTAGGTATGTGCAGATGTTTGTGAGGTGGTTTTCAGTGTCAGCTGGTAAAGCTCTGAACCCTGCTTCTGATTTGCTTTTTAAATTGAGATCCACTTACATTGGTTGCCCTTGTTAGAAATCATTCCATGTTAAATATGTCAAGCTAATCATTTTTCTGTTAGAGGCAATAGTTTGTTCATATCAGCTAACATGTCAACTAATTCCTTTTCCTGTATCTATGAAAGAGAAGAACTGTTTCCATTAGTCGTTTGCCAAATATACTTGCTGCTGAATATTATTTGAATCTTTAAGGCAAAGAAGGAAAGAGCTATGTTTTTAAAAGGGTCCTTTTGCATGTTTGATTTTATAAATATATACTCTAGGGAGTATCTTCAAAAATTTGTTGACTTTGAAAAAAATTCTATATTTATTTTGATCCAGATAAAAAAAATACTAATGTTGTACATTTCTTCAATAATAGCTCTGTGTGAAGGCTCATATATAAAAGTGATAAGTATGAAGTGGTGATAAGAGAATATGGATAAGAAAGAAGAGTAATGATCAAGGCAGTGTTCACTGTAATTGCAGATTATTTGGTATAATAAAGCAAATAATTAAGAGACCAGGATAGTAACTAAATATTGCTATTTAATGACCATGGAATTTATAATGAGAAGAATGGGATAACTAAAACGTGAAGTATGGCTTGGAGAAACTTTTATCTGCCACTGTGAGCTCAACAGCTTCCTGATACTTAAAGACTTTCTGGTGAGATTGGTAGTGATATTAACAAATGTGATTTTTTGCTATTTAATAATGAAATGTGTCAACATTTGGGAGAGCTGCATAACTCAGTGAACTGATATTTTTCAAATGGCCAGTGCTCGACGTTATAAAATCACACATGGGCAAATGATCCTTTCAAAGTGTGAGATAGACCAACAGATTTTAATTAGAGTACATAAAGCTCACTGTTATGGTTTTGGATTCCACATTTCAACTAGCCTTTATTAAACTATCACTTGTTGAGTTTGGGTTGTATCAAAGAATAAAGAATATTCTTAATCATCCAAAAAAACTTTTTAAATGTTCCTTCCTTTTTAAACTACATATCTGCGTGGGACTGGATTTTGTTCATATATTTCAACTAAGACAATATATTGCAACAGAGTAAATACAGAAACAGCTATGAGAATCCAGCTGTCTTCCATTAAGCCAGACATCAAAGAGATTTGCAAACATGTGAAACACTGCCACTCTTCTCAATACTTTTTTGTTTTGAAATGTTATGTATGTTAACATGTAATAGGTTTATTTTTTAATGAATTAGTAAATATTTAAAATTTTCTCAGTTTTAATTTCCATTGTGATAAATATCAATGGCTAGAACACACATAAACAAAAGCTCTTTGGGGTCCTCAGTAATTTTTAAGAATGTAAAGGGGTCCTGAGACCAAAAAAGGTTGAGAACCGTAGGGGAAGACCACAAAGAAGGCTTCAATTTGATCTGTTACATTTTCTGTCTTTTTTTAAAAAAGGAACAAGTCTGGCACAGTTACAGTGGAACTTTTTCATTTGTTAGATCTGGGTGATGAGAATATAGGTATTGGTATATTGTTCTCTTTGCTTTCCTATATGTTTGTGGTTTTATTTATTTATTTTATTTATTTAATCTATTTAATTAATTAATTTATTTATTTATTTGGCAGCTGGCTGGTGAGGGGATCTGAACCCTTGACCTTGGTGTTACCAGCACCACACTCTCCCAAGTGAGCTAACTGGCCAGCCTATGGTTTCACTTTTTAAATTAAGGTTATATGGGGCTGCCCGGTTAGCTCAATTGGTTAGAACATGGTGCTGATAATACCAAGGTCCAGGGTTCTACCCCTGTACTGGCCAGCTGCCAAAATAAATAAATAAATAAATAGGATTTTATTAATAAACATAGTCTAGGAGTAATCTAGGAGTCAGGTTTGATTCCTTGTTTTCCCTCATTCCCCACCTAGAATGAGGAGAATTTTCTAATGGATTAGATCACCAAAATATATCTCAGCTCTACCCACTTCTGTCCGTGTCCACTGCCTTCACGATCATCTCTTGCCCTGATTCCCCTCCAGCCTCCTGCTTCACTGCCTGCTTCCACTCTTGGCCTCTCCTCTCCAGAGCAGTAAGTGATCTTATGTTGGGCAGCAGACTACACTGCTCTCTGCTTACAACCTTCCCATGGCTTTCGGCACTCCCAGAAGAAAATGCAGGGGTCTTCCTGTGGCTTGTATCCAGTCCATCACCAAGCTCTGTTGATTTTGCCTCCTAAACATCTCTGGAATCCACCTGTTTCTTTGGTTCTTCTCTACCACCACCACTGTCCTT